CTGGAAGCCGTTCATAGTGGAGCCGGGTTGGCGACCACTCTGCATTCCCCTCCTCAGCCAGCCATTGGGTGAAACCGTCCTCGACCCGCTGGAATTGCACGAGTGGGTACTTCCAGAGCGTGCTTTGGCTTCCGACCTCAGAATCGCCGAGCAAGTTGGAGCCTTCTAGCGTTAAGGTGCCGTGGTGTGAGAGTTCCAGTACAGAGGACGAAATTCTGGGTGCCCTGACCCGCGCAGGGGGATCAGTCCCCAAGACCTCAAGGCCGAGTATTTCGTCGAACCACTCTCTCCCTCCTACAACTACGACCTCGTTGGCAGAGCTCAAGATGGATTTATGATCATGACGGGGCTGAGCGAGCGAGGGACCTGAACGCCAGGCCTGTGTTTTCGGATCGAAGATCACTGTGCTGCTCAGTGGTGAGCCGAGCTCAGGAATACCTTTCTGTATCTTGGTTGAAATAACCTGGTTGGCAGGAGAGAGCTCCCAGCCTCCGAAGCCGCCGACCACGAAGACTTCACCCGAGGGCAGAGTTTGGGCGGAATGCCACATTCTTGGTTTTGGCAAAGCGGAAACCGCTGACCAATTTCCTGTCGCTGGATCGAATATGGCACAGGAGCTGGTCGCTCCAGGATCGTCGCGGACTTCTCCTCCAACTATAAGCACTCGACCGTCAGCCAGTAGGGAGGCTGAATGAAAAGCGACGGAATCTCCAATTGAGGTTGATTCGTGCCAAGAATCAGCAACTGGATCATAGATTTCGGATGATGAGAGTCCTTGGCCACCAGCTACGATAACTGATCCGGAAAGGAGAAGAGTTGCCGTGTGCCCAGCCCTTCGCGCTAGTGAGGGCGCAGAAGAGTGCCAGGATTCGGCTTGAGGGTCGAAAACTTCAGTGCTGTTCGATGAGCCAGAACCCCCCACTAATAAGACTTTTCCCGAGGGGAGTAGGGTTGCCGTATGATGAGATCTGGGAATTTCCATTTGCGGTAGTTCTTCCCAAGTCTCTGTCTGGGGATCGAAGAGCTCCGCAGTTGCGCTTCCACCCCCTGCCACCAAGACTTTACCCGTAGGCAATAAGGTTGCGGTGTGGTGTCCTCTCGAATGAAACATTGCGTTGGACAACCGCGTGGTAAGGATACCTTCTTGTGTTCTTTCAATGATTTCTACAGCGTTGGTTCCACCACCGGCGACCATGATGGATCCGTTCGGAAGAGAGGTGACGGAGTGACCGTGTCTTATCTGGTGCAAGGCTGGTCCTTGAGTCCAAGGCTGGGCGCTTTCTCGATAAATCTCAGCACGATCAGTAGTTGAGGTAAAAAAGTGAGCACGTATCCCACCGCCAGCTACCAAAACGGCCCGAGAGGGTAAGACTGTAGCGGTGAAGCTGTGCCGATCGGAGATCATGCTGGATGGGGACCAAGAATCGACAGAAGGGTGATAGATCGGAGCCCAAGAAAGAGTGTCACGATTGAAGTCGTCACCATCGGCTCCGCCGATGAACATGACTTCCCCACTAGGCAGGAGAACCGCGGAATCCCACACAACGGTATTTCCAGAATTGTCGCCAGATTGCATCCAACTGTTTGAAAAGACATCGAAGATTCCGAGATCCCGGGGTCGGTACTCGCCGGTGCTGAGTATTCTTCCGTCAGCCAGCAAAAGTTGATGGGCGCCGTAGAAGACAGGAGCCTCCAATTGAGCCCATTGATTCGTATCGATGTCATATATCGAAGCTGCGGCACCGTTTGTCAACAGTATGCGATGGTCGTCGAGCGAAGACCAAAGCCCATCCGTTGGGTTTGTGGGGTCAGCT